TTTTGTTTTTGTGTCCTTCTCCATGAAAAAATTAATACTTATGACTGTGTTGCGATGCATCTGAATATAGTGCAGACTGGATTCATTTCCTGTATTATTTATTGTTTAATTTTTCTTCTGATTTAAAGATAGCAAATGGGTATCAAGTTTGGAGGAATGAACACAGACAGCAGGCTGACTGCAGTCAATATTAGGTACTGTATATTTCAAAATAATTAACAGATGATTTTTGAATGTTTTGCAATAAATATTTTATAATAACTAAAAAGCAATCAATATTGAGGTGATGGATACACTAACTGCTCTAGTCGTTACACAGTGCATACATGTATTGAAACATTACATTGTACAACATACTTTTGTACAGTTATATGTCAATTAAAGATAAAGTAGAGCTTAAAATAGAACATTTCTGGGATACTACAAGCCTTGATTATCTGCTACGTACAGTGGCTAAGTTCACCCCGAGCCCACTATGTGACCCACTGTTCCTTGAGGACCCAGTGCCCTTCTGACACTTTGATTCACAGTGTCCCTTCTGCCAGAAATGTCTGTCCCTGAGCCCAGGCCGTCTCTGCCCCACTCTGCCCCAATCCACCCTGACACATTCCTTCACCTCCTCAGAGTCCAGCCACGTATCACTTTCTCTTGCCAGATGCAGCAAATTAAACTACAGGATACCAAATTAATTTGAACTTCTGAGAGATCACAAATATTTTGGCGTGAGTGTGTCTCATGTCTCACACATCCCAAATATTGCAGGACACATGTTTGTACTAAGACATCATGCATGTTTATCTAAAATTTAAATTTCCCTGGACATCTCGTGTTGTAGCGGGCAACCCCGCCCCTGTGTTTTCTGAGTCATCTTCCTGCCAGTTTTCCTTCCCACCTGCTGTCCCCCTCTGAAGTATGCTAGCATTTTCTACACACTCGTCACCAAGCATCCTCCCCACTGCAGTCATCATTATACTTACCTGCCACAGTCTGGGAAGTTGTCGTACATGAGTAACTGTGTACTTTCCCTTTATTTCTCCAAGTATGTATTTATTTTCAAGGATGACTGGGCAGCATTTGGTTTTAATTTCAGTCAGGATATCATGCGGCTGATACTAAAGATGAGTTAACCATTGCATGGAATGATAGGATCACGTCTGTTAACAAAGCTGTTTCTTGGTAAGACACGTTGCACTTGACATTGCAATAGCTGAGCAAGAAAGCCAGAGGTCCATAGCTGAGCCCTGTTTCTCCCTGCCTTTGTGTGAGGGCTGACAGTGTGAATGAGGGGAGTCTTAGGCCGGTGCTGGGGAACAATTCAAGTGCAGCTGAAGCAGGGCCACGTGTGAGAGCGGGTCTTGCTGATTTTTTTTTTTTTTTTTTAAAAAAAAAAAAAAAAAAAAAAAAAACCAGTAAAAATGATACAGAATTTCAAAACAAGTTAATAGGAAATTAACAAAGGTTATTAGATTGCATGTTGTTATCTTCTAAGTAGTTGCTCAGGTTACCAAATATAGGCAGATAAGATCGATCAAACAATATAGGCTATGGAAATTCTGATTGTCTATCTCCGTCTTGGGAGTGTATAGTTTTTCAAAAATGTTATTTTCAATTGACTTCCCCCAGTGCTCACCACAGCCCCCATGACTCCTTAACACAGGAAAACCAGCATGAGTTGTTGTGGTGCAAGCCGTGGGAGCCCCGAGCCCACAGGAGCCCCAAGCCTGCAGGAGCCCGGGGCCAGGCTTCTTTCTGGTGCTTTCCCAGCACTCCAAGCATCTGGAGCTGGGTGCGCTGGAGGGCAGCCTTCCTTTGAGGCTGTGAGTAACAGCACGCCCCAGGACGAGGCAGGCAGTTTGAAATGACTCAAGCCTTGAAGAATTTTTGGGAAGCCTGGTAAAACTTTCCTTTTTGATTGCTATGGATTTGCCTTTCTCAGTTGAGTAAAATTTCCTAAGTTTGCAACTGGTTGTTTTGTTATTCATGGCGAGCAAGAAACCACAATGCCCAGATACCCGCGGAGGATCCTTGCGCACATGTGGGTGTGTGTTGGCTGTCAGGGGTTTCTGCCCCTTAATTATCTCTCGGGGTTCAGCTCACCCTATAGCTTAAAGGCACAGGCAACAGGGCCTGAAGCTGTTTCCAGGGCAGTCACCAGGTGAAGTGAGAGAGAAAATGAAACACTGAACTGTCTCCAGGTCAACTTCAGTTTTGGAATTGCGCACATTACATTTCCCGTGGGCTGTACAAACTGCTCATTGGTCAAGGCTCTGATAATTTCTACAGAACAGTGTTTTTTTTCTTTTTAAACTTAAAAAATGAGATAATGTTATTTAACTCAGTGTTTTCCAAAAATCACCCTGCACTGCTCCTTTCGTTCTGAGGAATATCCCACCATAATCCCAGGAACATGCTTTTGGAGACCAGCTCTCAAGGGAGAAAAGGAAAGTGGCAAGTTTCTCATTGGTGTGTTCCCTTTCCGGATATTTTGGTTCAGAAAAAAAAAATGCAACTGTCCTCAGCACTGCCCTCAAGCCTTGCCAGGCAGCCCCCCGGGAGGACTCCACACACCTGAGGCCCTATGTTTTCCCTCAGGGGTTCACTGAGTCTCGAGGTAAGGGACAGCGCATGGGGAGGAGGAACATTGCAGGCCCTGCAGACCAAGCACCGTATTAAGTGCTGTCCGCTGGCAGTCTTGACTGGTAAATGAGGAGAGGAGCTAGAGGAGCGCCATACCAGATCGGCGTATGTGTATATGAGGAGGAAATACGTTCCCCTCCCTCAACCCAGGGCACTCACACGTCCACTCTGTTCACACCAGAACACGCTAAGCCACAACTACCATATGCGCAGTTCCAAGGATACTGTCACAGTGTCATGCAGAGGCAGTGTGTGTACCATGCACCCAGATGAGTGGCCAGTGGTGGCGTCATCTAAGCTCTTGTCACCTCAGGGTTTTGCTGGAGCTGCTTTCCCTAGCTGGGTGGGATCTTCTGACTTATTGGCCCTGAATCCTAAGTTTAGCCTCAATGTCACCTCTGAATAAAGCAAGCTCTCCCTTTGTTTTTTACTTATGTAGCCTGTTTGTGTTCTCCATAGCACTTGCCATCACTGAGGTCAACACAACCTTGACTATTGCCCGTCACCCTCCAAATAAAATAGCAACTCCACGAAGGCTAAGATGTTGTTCTTTCAGTAACCTGTAGGTCCCTAACATCTTAAACAGTGCCTGACCTAGTATAGAAACACCATAAGTGATTGTTGAGGAAGTGAAGGACAACTTAGCCTCTTCCCCGTCTGACTAGTTGCTGAGAGTTGACAGATATGGGTGTTGACCCACGAAGGGGTGTGTGGTGTTGGTGGAGACAGTTCATAACAAATTCTTATGGATAACTGCCTGGCCCAGCCACCAGCCTGCTGGAACATGAGGATGTACAGAAGTGCAGAGAGCCATAGAAATGAATTTTTATTTGTAAAAAGTTACAAAATGATATTGTACAAAAATAAAGTCTGTAGAGAACTTTGGTTGTATAACACAAACGACCAAGACAGATCAGAGAAGTCAGAACTTCCAAAGAAGTGTACTCTCCTATATCCGATGGTAATCACAATGATAAAGAAAAAAATCACAAACTTTACCCTTTTGTGGATTTCGTGGAGCAATCTGCTCTCCTTAGAACTTGTTTAGGATATGTAGGTGACTCTGGGAACAAGTTGTCGCCACCCACTGAATCCTGCAGCCCCTCTGGCCAAGGACTCTGGGGAACTGGGACTGAGGCTGAAGCCTGGGGGCGAGCGTCAGTGACCACAGCTGCCAGTGTTCTCTGAATTTGAGGCAACATACAAATTGTGCTATTGGCTGGGATATCACTGTTCTGAGCGGGAGTGGATGAGAGAAACCCTTTTCCTTTATTTCCTTGTCATTCGAGGGTAGCAGAAAGGACAGAGGGACAGAACAGTGGAGAACTTGGGGCTTTGGGGGTGATGTGTAGGGAAGATGTCTGGTAACTACTTCTTGGTTGCTTTGTAAAGTAACATAATTATTTGAGGGAGGCCAGTAGGTTATAAGTGCTAAATGTGTACTACTTTTGTGGCCAATAGCCACTTAGGTAGTGATAGATTAGTTCCTGGATAAAAAGCCCTTTTGTAACATATGTAATAAGCTCTAGCACAGGGCCTTGTTATCACCCATAGGTTGACTGCCAGACAAATTCCCATGGGCCCACAGAGGAGGCAGTTGCTCCCATCCTGTGTGTCTTTCCCATGGCTCTTACATCAAAGAGGTAGCCTGTTCTGGGAGCGAGGCCTTGCATGTTTACACTGTGGTTGGGCCATGTGCCTCTCCCTTGCCCATCCTTCTTAGCCATCTTCTCCCAGGAAGCCTCCAGGTGAGCAGGAGCTATAAGAGTTGACCCCAGGTAACAGCCAAGGGGCTTGTAGGTGACAAGACATTGGTATGGTGTGGGCTACACTGTAACATCGTGTTTCTAGGGAAAGCAGTGGTGGATGGCAGTGATGAAGGAAGAGACACCATAGGTCAGGGCAAAAACCTTGGCTGCCTGGCGGGGTTCTTCACTTTGCTTGTAGGTCAACATTAAATCCAGGACTATCTACCTTTTATGTATACGGTTATGCATATTACAAGCAGATACACGTGGAGGGGAACAGGAGCTTAAATACAACACAGAGTGGAGCACATGGCATTATCTGTTCAGTGCTGGGGCAGTGAAGAAATGAAGCCCAGCTGATGGTTCCTGCACACTGCTCCCAGAAAGTGGCTGACCTGGAGGCGCTCCTTTCGACATGCTTAAAAAAGTACAAATAGGGAGAAAGACTGAACTCTGGGAGAATGAATGAGGGATTTTCTGAAAAAGGTAAAGTTAGTGATTTTTGCCTAGAGAAAACCTTTTTAATACTTTGGAAAGCATGGACCCTTGTTCCCAATTAAAATTTCCTTTTGTTACCTTTCTTTGCATTTTGCGAGCATGTATACTTTGGCACCTTTGAAAAGAAACTTTAATAAATAAGGGGGAAAAAAGAGAAATTCATTAGTGAATGGTAATAAATAACAATAACTTAAATCTCAATAAATATCTTCTCTATATTTCTGTATCTGAAATAGATGCATTGCATCGAGTAGCTTCTCTGGTCACTGGTGACCATGCATCAACGGAGCTGGGTATGTAACATCTGTCTCTGTAAACCGAAGGCCCTGGGGTGGGTCTCCCTGGCCCGGGGCAGCTGGGACCTTCTCTGCTTGCTCTCCTAGGAGAATGCTGTCGAAAACCACAATCGCTTCCTGTTTCTGAGGACATAAAGGAAATACCTTCAGGTTTGTTTTTCATCATGAAGACAGCTTTTTTGGGGTTTGGTTTTTGGCTCCTAGCCAACTTCTTCCTACCCCACATATCATGTTCAAAATTAATCTTCAATCATTCCCCTAAACGCTGGTTGTAGTCAACCTCAGGCCTCGGCTTTTAGGTTGTGTCTCCGCTGTTTTTCCCCACCCTCCTTTCCAGGATATGAATCCATTGAGTGACAGAAAAATAAACCATTCTTACTTTCAGCAGTAGAATGTAATGACAAAGAGTGACACCGAGCTCACTGTTTCCCTGGTGTCCTCAGACACGTGAGAACGAACCACAGGAGATACACTGGTTTGGTTCTTTGAGTGCATCCGCGACTGCAATTGTGGTTGGTGACAGTGGACTGTATCAGAAATGATGACAACAGCCAACCAGGGACACCAGCCCTGAGCTTCTGGTGACATCGCTGCTGTCCTGGAGAACCCAGATGGCTGTTTTCTCTTGCCCATCCAGTTCGGTACAGCTGGACCTCCCTCTACCAGGCTCCCATGATGGCTGCCTTCTTCTTCCTCTCTGCCTCCTCCGCCTCTGCCTCCTTGGTCCTCATCTTCCCTTCCGGGCAAACATTTCCTGGGAACCTTGGTCCCTTTCTTTGCACTGTAGCAGGAATGCAATACACAGCAGTCTCTGGAGCTGGAGTCAGATACATCCACACCTTTTAGCGGAATGCTTTCTTAGAATATGGTAAACCAGGTTATCATCTAAAAATGACAAGTCGTCATCAAAGGCAATGGGTCTGCAACAGGCCTGCCCTACTTTGTCACTCACTAGCCTTCTACTTCTGGATAAGTTTTTTAGTATTTTGTCATACATTGTCTCAGCTGCATCGCAAGAGCCACTGCAGTACCGAAAAATCAGTTCTTCCTTGGTTTCATAGCCCAAACCCAAGTCAGTGACATTTAAATGTATTGCTGTCAAGACACAGCCCCGATTTTTGCCCCTCTGGCCTCTTCGACCTTTTCCTCTGGAATTCTCTGGGTTGGCAGCTGCAGCTTGCCGATTCCGCTCTCTTCTAGGAAGCACTGCCATTTGTTTATCTGGTGACCTTTTCAGTCTTTTAATGGTGGCTTGAATAAAATCCATGACATCATCAAACTGATCGTGATAATCTTCTGGCATATTTGCTGTTCAACAAGAAAACAGAAAATGTCACATGAGACAACAATGACCATTTCAGGCAACCTTCTAGAACAAAGTGCCCCCTACAGTCAGTGCAAATTGGATCCATAGTGAAAAAACATCAGCCACTTAAGCTAAGTGCACATTGTAGTCCCCTAAAAACAGAGGCTAACATGTACCCTCTAACATTTTGCAGAAGAAAGATTAGTTGGAAGAAGAGACTGATGTGGTGAGTGAGCCACTTCATTGTATAAATCCAACCCTTACAAAACTTGAGCCAGTTTTAGCAAGTTAGCACAGAGGGATATGAGCAGGCTGACAATTGAAGTCTCTCTCTCTCTCTCTCTCTCTCTCTCTCTCTCTCTCTCTCTCTCTCCCTGCTTTGAAATATAGCCTAGAGTCTGTTTCTTAAACATTATTGTGCAGTATTATTGGTTTATATCTAGATGTCCCCCCAAAACCTCATGCTTTCTTAGGTGGGGCCTTGGAAAGTGATTGGATCATGCATGTGTTATTGGATTAGTCCACTGGTGGGTTTATAGCTGGGTTTTGTAATGTTGGAAGTTAAATTCTGGTGGGAAGAGGTAGGTCACTGTGGACATGGCCTGAAAGGGTATAAGTCCCTCCTCCTCTCTTGATCCCTGCCCTGATTCCTGGCTGCCACGCCAGGAACACTTTCTCCTGTGCCATGCCCCTCTCTATTCTTCTTGCCCTGGAGCCACCTGACTATGGACTGAAACTGTGAATGTGAACTGTGAATCACAATAAGCATTTCTTCCCTAAACTTAAGAATATCGAGTATTTTGTGCCAGCAACAAAAAGTAACTAAGACATGGAGGAAAACACCCAGGATGGAATATGGAATGTGCATCCCTGAAATTCTTGTGAAATTCATCCCAACTGTGTGTGGCTGAATGGGACAAGAACGCTTGGACAGAACAAAACAGAACTCCAAAACCCAATTCTACTTTAAAACTTCTTTAAAAGCAATAAGGAACAGAAAACCAACTTATATCTCACTAAGAAAGAGACTAAACTTGCCATTTTTCTTTGAATGGTGTGAATTTAACAAAAAAGTATGGTGATTTGAATGGATCAAATGTATCACAGCAATGGATAAAATAAGATGCTGTTTGTGGATGGCTGCAGCCCTTGCCCCAGGGAAGGGGGAGTACAGGCTCTTCTGTAGGCTGTCACAGATCAGATGAGGGCTGTACACCTCAGGAGGTGCCGTGTGGGACAAATGAGAGGACACTAGCAGGTGTGCGACCCTGGTTAAAGCGGCCTGAACTTGCAGTCTCATGATGTCTACTGGGGATTTTAGCATTTAGTGCAGTGTTTGGCCAACTGAATAAGAGAAAAATTACTCAATTGGGACAATTTAATACATTTTAAAGGGAAAGGAATTAAACATGAAATATTAGCTACTATGTATTATGTTCTCCTGACTCTATTTTCAGGCAATTCAGTTTCTTTAAGATTATATGTGACTTGGACCAGAGGTATAGCTCAGCGGCAGAAGTGCCT